GTTACGATTCTTGTACAACAACAATTGCTGTAACCTGCATTACTTTACCATGATCTTAAGGGCTAAAGCTGGGAATACATAAAGCGCTTATTTGGCTGGCTTAAGTCATCGGCTGGCTTCTTCGGAAATGAACAAAGGAGCCTAGGGCCAAAATCGAACTAGGTCAACCTAGAACTCCTTTGTTCATCTACAAAGAAGCCAGCCGATGACTAAAGCCAGCCAAATATGCGCTTTATGTATTTCCAGCCTAAGTACATAAGAAGCTTGAAGTCATGGCTAGGCATATTTTGTGACATTTCACAAAGGGATTACAGAGCCGCACTAAAATCCAGCCGTTGTTTTCCATTATAATTTGACATTAATATGCCTAGCCATGACTTCAAAAGTTGCTCAACTTCAAAGAAACTAGAACAATGCAACTCTGTGCTGGAGTCTTATAGTTTCAAATAGACTTTAAAATATGCAACAGTAGGCTTTGTTTACTTTTTAATTTTTTTTAACAAAATTCTTATATTGGGAAAACCCGCGAAACAAGAATGGAATTTCGGGGTTATTCCACCAGATGGAATCTAAAATAGTAAGACAATACAGTGTTATCGCAAAATTGTAAAATTTGTTACCCACTTACGTCGAAAATTTGCATTTATTTTGCAACCAAATTTGAAATAATTTCAAATTATTGTATTTTTTATTCAAAATAATAAACACACATGCACAAAATGTGTATATGTTTTGACATAATAAGGGCACCAAAAGAAAAAAATTGTATTTGGGGGGTAGCTTTGTTCTACCTTCTGTAATTGTGCCATGCTTGCACCCGTAGCCATATAAGAAATTTTTGAAATAAACAAAAAAAAAAAAAAAAAAACAAGTAAAAAAGCTGTAAGTTCGTCCGGGCCGAACTTTGAATACCCTCCACCATTTGGAACGAATTTGGCAATATTCAAAAATAAAATCCGTTAAAATCTTAAAAATACCAAATGTAACCGTCATATTAGGGTCTAAACGACGACGTGGACCGGCATATGAATATGAAATTTTGTCATTACAATATTAAAATGCGAAACTTGAAAAAAAAAACAGGTGAATAGTGTAGCTAAAATCATATAATAGGGAGGTACTATTAAATGCGGCTATACCAAAATGTGGGACTGCACAGACAATTTTCTGCTTAGGCTGCAGTATTCATTACGAACTTCAAATACCAAATTTGAAACAATTCCGGTGAATAATGTCGCTAAAATCATCAAAATACCGAATATCGGGAGGTACCGTTATATTGGGGCTATATGAAAACGTAGTCCAACATGGCCCATTTACGAACTTAACGTGCCTACTGGCAAAATAAACATGTGTGCAAAATTTTAGGCTTCTATCTCAATTCGTTCGAAAGATAGCGTGGTTACAACAGACATACGGACATCGCTAAATCGACTTAGAATTTTACGCTGATCAAGAATATATATACTTTGTTGGGTCTGAAATGAGTATTTTGAGTAGTTACAAACGGAATGACAAAGTTAATATACCCTCTTTGAGCTTTCATCTAAATCCACCGGAATCTAAAAAAAAAGGGGGGGGGGGAAAACGGATAAATAAATATGTCGATTTATTTTAAAGAACAATGTCTTTGGTGTAAAGTCCCTTTAAAAAGCTTACGCTGATGAGTTAAAGTATGGTAAGAAGAGGGGACATCAGTTGGTAAAGGATGTAATGGTGAGAGACATTATCAGAGAATTGGGAATTTGTAGCTAGATAGCAGCTAGGAAATAAACTGTTTCTAAGAATAAGATATATTTTACATACATGGGATGACAGTGAGTTCTTTTCTTTCTTCTTTTCGTTCATCAGGACTACACGACTTTTGACATTGAAAATGGACAATATAGGTCCATTTTTGGTATAGCCCCCATATAACTATACCTACAGATTTAAGATATTTTAGCGACATTATTCACCTGGATTGTTTCTAATTTTGTATGTGAAGTTCCTAATGGATACTACAGTCTATGACAGAAAGTTGCATATGCAGGGCCTCAATTCTTATTCCATGAAAATGTGAAATGAAAACTTTTATAATGGAAAGAAATGTCAACTGAAACAAGTTAAAAAGCAGTAAGTTCGGCCGGGCCAAACTTTGAATACCCTCCACCATTTGGAACGAATTTGGAAATTTAAAAAAAATAAAATCCTTAAAAAATGCTGGTTAATTTTAAAAATAACGAATATTGCCGTTATATTTGGGTCTATACGAAGTGGACCTACATAGGCATTGTTTGCCATTAGCCATTACCATATTCAAATTCGAAACTTGAAATAAACGGTGAATAATGTAGCTAAAATCATCAAAATATCGTATATAGGGAGGTACCATTATATCGGAGCTGTGCGAAGAACTGGACCAGCATACAGGCTATAGCATCCATTACTACATCAAATACGATATCTCAAACAATTTCGGTGGGTATTGTACCTAAACTCGTCAAAATACCGAATATAGGGAGGTACTGATATATGGGGCCTATACGAAGACCTGGACATGCATAGACATTTTTCTGTCACAGACTGTAGTTCCCATTACGAACTCTAAATACGTAATTTGAAACAATTCCGGTGAATAATGGCGCTAAAATCATCAAAATACCGAATTTTGGGAGATACCGTTATATGGGGGCTATACAAAGACGTGGACCTGCCTGATTACAACAGACGTACAGACAAACAGACGGACAAATCTAAATCGACTTAGAAGTTTACTCTGATCAAGAATATATATACTTTGTTGGGTCTGACATGAGTATTTCGAGGAGTTACAAACGGAATGACAAAGTTAATATACCCTCTATAGTATGGTGAAGGGTATAAAAAATTGTATTGTATATGTATAGACACAATAAGACTCTGCTGAATTTTGAATTTTTCCTATGTCTTTCGAAGCTAACCTTTCTGGTTATACCTTGATTGCCTCATACCCTTCATCAATTTCCTCGATTTAAGACACATTTTCTTATTGAATTGTTACTAGTATGGTATTTATAGCTTCATATACAAGCCCTCCCAATATTAGATTTTAACCACATTTTCTTTCGGATATATTTAATATTCACAACAATAATACAATGTCTATTTAAAAATACTGTTACGAATATAACTTTAGATTTAAGTTAATTTAGATGAATTCCGTTAATTTAAGAATTTGAATTGTAACGTAAATTTCTACTACGCAGTTTATTTGAATAACTTCACAACAACAACTACTGTATAGATTTTTCTACATCCTTTCATTTCCTCTTTCATTTTCTATTTTGTTGCTGACGCTCAATTCTTGTTAAACGTCATCATTGATGATCGCTTAATTCCTCTTTCTTTGTTACCCCCTCGCCTGTGTATGTGTTGTTGTTATTGTTCACTCAATGTAAGTTTGTATGTGTTGTTGCTATTGTTCACTCAATGTAAGTTTGTATGTGTTCGTTGCATTGGTAGATTGTTCGTAATCTAGGCGTTACCAGATCGTCTAGAAACTTCTGTAGCGACAGGCGAGGCTCATATAAATAGGGGAAATGGAAAGGCAGTTAGTCAGTTGTGAATCAGATCGCGAATTGAAACCGTCGAGTAAAGTAAAGTGCAAAGTAAAGTTGTGTGAATAAAATCATTGTAATAATCGTAATCCGAAAGAACCCGCGTTTTATTTGGTACGAGCTGTATTGGGAAATAAAACAACGTCTACACGGGATTAAGTAAAATCCAAGAACGTAACAATACGTTTAGATTTACGAAATCCTTTCGATCTGGAATGTCAATCCATAGCGTATACGTCATATAATATCCACTGGATTTATGAATACGATTGACATTTGATATCGAGTGAACACAGTGGTCTAAACCTGTTCTAAGTCCACGTTTTAATTAACTTTACTCTACAGGGTGAGATGAAAAAACTGCAACCAACTTCAGACTGCTGTCATTTCTAAGCCACTCGTTCGACATCTGTTAAAATTATTCCAGTGACAGCTACTTATATTGTTTACAAGCGTACAAAAGCTTTTTGTTGAGAATTTTCCAGAAAAACAGATATTCGTGATGGAATTCAAGCGTGAAAGTGCGTTTTCTTTATATTTGACTGGAAAAACAGTGGCTATCGTTAGAGCACTCCAACTATTTTGTGTCTCGTACCATCGCTCGTTACCGTGATACTGGTAGCGAAACCCGGAGTCAAGGAAGTGGATGGGAGAAAACAGCTACATTAGTAGAAATGCTTCGAAAAGTAAAGACGCGTCTTGATCGAAACCCGCTTCGCAGTGGCCGAAAAATGGTTCGTAAGTTGAACATATCGCAATATTCCATTCGGCAAATATTGAAATATTAGCTCGGGGTTAAGCCATTGAAATTCCAAAAAGTGCAAGAACTTACACCGCAACAGAAAGAAAATAGACCCAAAAGAGCTTGACCGAAAGTGGTGAACTGCCGAATTTGGTTTTCTCCGATGATAAAACATTTGTTGTCCAGCTGTTTGTAAACAAACAAAATGATCGTTTTTACTTGTCAAAGAAGTCAGCTGAAAATGTGCACCTTCGGTTGGCTACCAGAGCTCAAGCGCCGGCCATGGTGATGGTGCGGCCGCAATAACAGCCGACTTAATACTTAAGTGTCGATCACCTCAAGCAAGCGCTTCGCCGGGAATGGGCCAAAATACCGCAGAGCAACATTCGGGCATTGACGGTTTCATTGGCAGTTTGAAGGCCATAATTCGTGCCAGAGGTGACCAATTCAAACAAATCTAAACTTATTCTAAAATTTGAGGCTATTTCCGACATTTTTTGCTTTCATTCAATAAAATTTAAAAAACAATGTAAAAATTATGGAGTTTGATTTTATTGCAGTTTTTTATCTCAACCTGTACAGGTATTTTTCCTGTTTTTTTTTTGTGTTGTATTGTGTTTGTTTTTTTTTTTTAATACAATACCACTTAAAATTAAAATAATTTTTTTATTTGATTTCAGAGTTGTTAGCATGGGAGGTTGTTCACTGGCTCTAACTTTGGTTTTATATCTAACGGAAACTTTGTACTTTCAATCGTGTACTTTAAATTTCTATGTCATATTTCCATGTGTCTTGAATTGTAAGTATTTTCCTACAGAATTTGCCAACTCAAAATGACTTTCTTCTTTCATTTAGCTATAACCTTATTGGCACTCATGTATATACCAAAACGTTTACGTTTGTGGGAGCCAAGTCTGGATTTAGATGATGAGAATACTCAACTGCTTAAACAGATGACTGGATTCAAGAGGAGGCGTGCTAAGAAAAATCAATAGAACCATCTGACTTAAAAAGAAAAGTTTCTTTTTACAGATTAATTTTAGAGTGAACAGCCTTTGCGAGGAACAGGCATTGCAAGGCTGTTGTTGCATATACTAAGGCAAATACGAATATATTATTGTCATCATTAACATTAAATGAATTGGAATTCAACAACGCCAGATTTGAAAAACATTTCCATTTGGAACTCCGGATATACATCTATAATTTCAGTAACTTAATTGGAGATATATAGTTTGAATCTCAATTATTATATACTTTCTATATTCCTATTCTTTGAAAGGTATCTGGAGTTACGCAGAAAGAAAAAGAAAAGATCTTCACTTTTCGCCTTTTTCAAAATAAAAGAACCGTTTTTTGTAAAGGAAATTTAGCATGTTCAGCATCGTTGTTAGTTTATAAGTCGTATATCGATGCTATAAAATGCGTTTGGTTTGGCCTTTCTACCCAAGCGATTACTGGACCACGTTAATAAATGAATGTTCGTATTTCATTTAAAATGTTGCATTGCTTTTTTGCTTTTTATAGATAAATAGAAACGGATATAACGAGAATCACTTGTTGCATAACATCGCTCACAATGAGCTGTGAATGAATATTTTTTTTATTAAGAAAATGCAATATAACCGTCATCGACTGATCATATTCATATAAAAATTTGCTAAATAATATTTTTGAAACAAATAATTATTTCTATTTTTATTAAAAAACAGGAAACAAAAAACACAAGAATAGAAAAATGCCAGCACATGTAAAACAAAACATTGGATCAATTATTTTTAATAGCAATTTTACTTCCAAGTATTGAAACCAAAAAAAAAACGTAACCTTTCCACATCAATTAGTATTAAAAAGCTCTACATCTTCTCAGCCCGTTAGCTTTTAAACAAACAGAAAATATTATATAAACGATTGCGACAGTTAATTATATAAAACATTAACGATAATAAATACTTGCTTTAAAACTTGAATTGTAAGTAGGCATTATTAGCATTTTTATAAATTAAATTTTTGATATACAATACATACATATAAGATACACAATTATTTAAAAAAGTATGCAATTTTTTTATAAGCAATAATAGTTACAATAACACATTTATCAATAAAATTGAATAAATCAACTTGCTATCAATTTGTTTTATTTTTAATATAATTAACAGCAACAAGTATTAAAATTTATTCTGAAAAAAATTGCGATTGTGGGTCAAAATATGTCCTTAAAAATCTAAGACAATATTCTGAAAAAATCTTAAAAATCCACACATTGATTCAAAAAGTTTTCTTAAAAATATAAAAATCCAAGATTATCAGGCATGTCACAAAATCGTAATGAAGTGTTTTGAATTTCATAATTCAAAATCGTTCGTTTCTGTTTCAGCTTCAGATTAAACAGCATTCCACAATACATATTTCACATATTATAAGATAATTACATTTTTCTACAAAATTCTTTTTTGAGTGTTCTTCTTGTTTTTTTTCTCTTTGCTTTAGTTTATTTAGTTTCATAATAACACGCTTGGTTTTCACAGATGAATAATTTTTAACAATTGGCTTCGGCAATTGAGAAACCATTAAATTTTGCGAATTATTTTAAATAAAAGTATAAAAAATGTAAATTTAATTGTGTATTTGTGTTGGTATATGAAAATCTGGCAACTCGTTAATGCACTTTTAAGCATCTCTTAACAAGCTTTTTGTGCATCTAATACATGGTAGAAGAATACAGGTGGTCGCTTCGACACAGCTGCTGGGACAATGAACTGTCAAACCGATTTTGAAATTGAAAATGTTGAATGAAAAATTATTAAAATTTGTGGAAATTGTTGAGAAATGCATATTGTAACAACCTCCGATTTGTATCGTATAAGAAAATATATAAAAATGTACTTATTTTTGACAAAACAATTTTAAAATTTTGACATATCAATGTTCGCAAGCGTTGATGCATCTACCTATATTCTTCTACCATGATCTAATATGTCAAATTTTACACCTCAGCAGATATGGACTGGTGTTAAACCTGATATAAGTTATTTTAAAGTTTTTGGCTGTCGTGCTATTTCGTATATTCCCAAAGAAAAACGTAGGCGGAAGAATTAATTTTTAATGGCTATTGTGAAGATACCAAAGGTTACCAACTGCTGAATCCTGATGGTTGGCGTGTTGTTAATAACAGAGAAGTGCAATTTTTTGAAAATGATTTTTTTGAACAACAACTGCAACAAAAAAAATGTTTTGAAGATTTTTGTTTTGTGAAATTGAACGATGTCGATGATACTGATCAAGTGGAGGCAAGTGCAAAAGACGATGAAGACGAAGAATCACAGACTACAGAACCGTTTAGTGGGTTCGGTATTTAATGTCAGTAGCAGCTCATTTTGACTTAGATATCGAACAAATGGATGCTGTTACCGAATTTTTGCTGGGTTATTTATCTGAAGAAATATATATGGAACACCCTGAGAGAATAGGAGACCAAGCCATCGATAATGTTTGTAAATTGAATAAAGCGATTTATGGTCTAAAACAGGCGAGTCGTTAGTGGAATAAAAAATTGAGCCAGGCACTTAAAGGTATGGAGCTTAAGCAGTCAAAACTTTATCCATGTATTTTTTTTTTGTGTGGATGGATCAAAGATTTTTTATGTGGATGATTTACAATTTTTTTTTCAAACAACAGTAAGCTGAAAGACGGCTCGAAGAAGAATTTTTTGATGAAGGATTTGGAGGAGGCAATGAGCTGTGTTGGCCTTCGCATCACCAGATAGAACAAGTAAAAAAGCTGTAAGTTCGGCCGGGCCGAACTTTTAATACCCTCCACCATTTGGTACAAGTTTGGCAATTTGTAAAAAATAAAATCCGTTAAAAATTATGTTAAAATTTTTAAAATACCGAATGCTTATACGACGACGTGGGCCTGCATAGGCAACTTTTGTCATAAGTTATTACAAAACTTGAAGAAAAATCTGTTTATAATGTAGCTAAAATCATCAAAATACCGAATATGGGGGGTCCCCTTATATTTGGGCTACACGAAGACGTGGACCTGGACAGACATTACGAACTTCACATGCGAAATTTGAAACAATCCCGGTAAATAATGTCGCTAAAATCATCAAAATACCGAATATCGGGGGTACGGTATATGGGGGCTATACGAAGACGTGGACCTATATGGCCCATTTTCTGTTTTATGCTGCAGTATCCATTACGAACTTCAAATACCAAATTTGAAACAATTCCGGTGAATAATGTCGCTAAAATCATCAAAATACCGAATATCGGGAGGTACCGTTATATGGGGGCTATATGATAACTTGGACCTACATGGCCCATTTACGAACTTAACCTGCCTACTGGAAAAATATACATGTGTGCAAAATTTTAGCCTTCTATCTCAATTTGTTCGATAGATAGCGTGATTACAACAGACAGACGGACAGACAGACAGACGGACATGGCTAAATCGTCTTAGAATTTTACGCTGATCAAGAATATATATACTTTGTTGGGTCTGACATGAGTATTTCGAGGAGTTACAAACGGAATGACAAAATTAATATACCCTCTATAGTATGGTGGAGGGTATAAAAAGAGATGAGATACATATTGAGCAGAGTGTATATGTTGCAAATATTTTGAAGCGTTTCAACATGAGTGATTGTAAGCTAGTTTGCACACCTTTTGATATTAACAATAAGCTAACCAATCCTACATCAAATACTTATCAATTTAGTAACATCCCATACCAAAAAACTATAGGCAGTTTACTTCACTAGTACAAGGTACACGCCCGGATATTGCTTACGCTGTAATTTTTTTGAGCAAGTTCAACAACGATTTTGATAATTCACACTGGGCATCAGTGAAGCGAATATTTAGACACCTTAAAGGTACAATGCAAGCAAAACTTACATATTCAAAGAATGGAGATATTAATTGATATGGATTTTGTTATGCGGATTATGCTAATGATGTTACGGGCAGGCGGTCTTGCACAGGTTATGTCTGCATGCAGAAAGGTGCAATAAGTTGGTGTAGTAAGCGTCAAGGAACAGTAGCACTGTCAAAAACGGAGTCCGAATACATGGCTATGTCCACATCTGCCCAAGAAGCTGAGTGGCTCCGTCAACTTGATAATAATTTATGGAATAGTACTGAAAGTAAGGTAAAACTTTTCTGCGACAACAAAAGTGCCTTGAATCTTGCGAGGCCCGATGCGTATCATTGTCGATCTAAACAAATAGACGTACGTCATCATTTCCTGCGCGATAAAGTAAATAATGGTCATGTTGAGTTGGAATATAAAGGAACTGAAGATATGGCAGCAGATTTTCTGACGAATCCGGTGACAAGAGAGAAGCACCTGAAATGTTCCGAGAAGTTGGGTCTTACAAACCTCGTGCCAGGTTTTAGTAGAGGTGTTGGTATATGAAAAGCTGGCAATTCGTTAATGCACTTTTAAGCATCTCTTACTAAGCTTTTTGTGCATCTAATATGTCAAGTTATGTTTCCTTCCTTCTTTACTATACGTTCCAGGCAACAAGACGTGTTTAATAAAACTCTGTATATACTTCCTAATAGAAAACAATCTGTCTTTTATTATACGATCCCATCAATTTGTCATTAAGACAACATTGTTATTACTTAAAAGTGTTTGAGAATGTTTTTAAGTCACAAGTTTCTATAAAAATTGCATTGCACTAGCAAAAACAAAAATGGTTTCAAAACCAGGAAAATTTTGCGTTTTAAGATTTCGGAAGATGCTAAATACGAAATTAAAATCACTTTCGTGCCGAATTCGTTCCTGAGACATACCTGTATAGTTCAAAAAATATCGTACCATTACCATCGTTCTCCACTAATAAACAAACGTTGTTTTTATAAAAACAACGATAAAGGGATTAAGCCTGACCATTTTGCAACAACAAAATAATATGTTATCCCGAACTAACAAGCCAACACTGTTCTATTAATAGACAAGGCTCCTTTTATATACTTCCTAATAGAAAACAATCTGTCTTTTATTATACGATCCCATCAATTTGTCATTAAGACAACATTATTATTACTTAAAAGTGTTTGAGAATGTTTTAAAGTCACAAGTTTCTATAAAAATTACATTGCACTAGCAAAAACAAAATGGTTTCAAACCAGGAAAATTTTGCGTTTTAAGATTTCGGAAGAAGCTAAATACGAAATTAAAATCACTTTCGTGCCGAATTCGTTTCTGTGACATACCTGAATAGTTCAAAAAATATCGTACCATTACCATCGTTCTCCACTAATAAACAAACGTTGTTTTTATAAAAACAACGATAAAGGGTTTAAGCCTGACCATTTTGCAACAACAAAATACTATGGTATCCCGAAACAAAGCACGGTCGACGAAGGGGTTTTTGTTGCAACAGACAAAAAACCAACTTACATGGTTATGCTACTTCGTTAAGGTAGAATGAAAGCATAACAAGTGGAGAAGCATGTGAATGTTTATAAGTGCGGTTGTAAGATTTAGAAGATTTTCCAAAAGAATTTTAGTTTTATTAAATTCTTTGGTTCCTCTTCTATTGAGCTTACGATCTCGTCACTTGGTTACCCGAGTAGAGATTTTGTATGTAAACGCGGTATTAACCCGGATATCATGGTGTAATAACGAGATCTTACACCAGATGAAATGTCAATGTTGGCACGTGAGTTCTGCTAATCGAAAATTTATAAAGCACCTTGAAAAGGGGGGTATATTAACTTTGTCATTCCGTTTGTAACATTCCTAGAGCTTCAAAATTAGCCACAACAACTTTTGTTGTGTCTAGGATGGTTAGTATTGAAAAAGTGATATATCGGTCCACGTTTTGGTATAGTCGGCATGTAACGGATCCTCCCGATATTCGGTATTTTGATGTTTTTTGCTACATTTTTCCAGGAATTTGTCAAAAAAATGGTATTTGTACTTCGTAATTGATTTTAGCTCCGGTTGCAGATCATTGGTAGAATAACTAGGTTCACGTTTTCCTATAGCGATGACTTAAGCCAGTCAGAAAGGGGTTTTATGTATTCTCACCTTTAAATATTAACCTCATACGTTATGTGGATTGATCTTGGAATGCTTGAATTTTCTTTCAATGTATCATTTTGCTGCAGCTTGGATAAGAATGAAGATCGACAATGTCGGGGCTTGTTTTGCTATAATACTGGTAGAAGATTGTCGTCCCGAATTTTCAGTTGAATTGGCCTTAATTTCATTGCAGAAAATTGTAAGCGTAGGATGTCTTTTTTATACAGAATCCATAGCAGTTGTTTTGAAGAATTTGCCCACTTTTTTCAATCCGTTATTATGGGTTTTTGATCCGCAAAGACTGACTTAAAATATAACGTCATTCGATGACTACACAAGAACTAACAGGATCTATAAAGTTTCCTTAAAAGGGAGGGTTTAAAATCTTGATTATTATATGTTTAAGATAAGAACAAGATAAATACAATTCGTCTTTTTAAGATATGGAACATATAACTGTTTTTACGTGACTAGGAACACCGAAAATAATCGAATATTTATTATATTTATAAATCACGTAAATATTTTAGAAAACGGTTGACATATTCGATTTAGCAAGATAGTCTACTTCTATTGTTTTGCCACATGTTAGTTAATTCCATATTATAAAATATAAATTTTTTTATACCCTCCACCATACTATGGTGGGCCATTCCGTTTGTAACTCCTCTAAATACTCATGTCAGACCCAACAAAGTATATATATTCTTGATCAGCGTAAAATTCTAAGTCGATTTAGCGATGTCTGTCTATCTGTCTGTCCGTCTGCCTGTCTGTTGTAATCTTTCGAACGAATTGAGACAGAAGGCTAAAATTTGGCACACATGTTTATTTTTCCAGTAGGCAGGTTAAGTTCGTAAATGGGCCATGTTGGTCCACGTCTTCATACAGCCCCCATATAACGGTATCACCCGCTTTTCGGTATTTTGATGATTTTAGCGACATTATTCACCAGAATTGTTTTAAATTTAATATTTGAAGTTCCAAAGGGATGTTACAGCCTAAGACAGAAAATTGTCTATGCAGGTCCATGTCTTCGTATAGCCCCCATATAACGGTACCTCCCAATATTCGGTATTTTGATGATTTTATCGTCATTGTTCACCGGAATTGTTTCAAATTACGTATTTAGAATTCGTAATGGGATCTGCAGTCTGTGACAGAAAATTGTCTGTGCAGGTCCAGGTTTTCGTATAGGCCCCATATATCAGTACCTCCCTACATTCGGTATTTTGACGAGTTTAGCTACAATACCCACCGAAATTAATTGAGATGTCGTATTTGAACTTCGCAATGGACAGAAAAATATCTACGCTTGTCCAGGTCTTCGCACAGCTCCGATATAACGGTACCTCCCTATACACGATATTTTGATGATTTTAGCTACATTATTCACCGTTTATTTCAAGTTTTCGAATTTGAATATAGCTTATGACAAACAATGCCTATGTAGGTCCACGTCGTATAGACCCCAATAAAACATCTATATTCGGTATTTTTAAAATTTAAACAGAATTTTTTAAGGATTTTGTTTTTTAAAAATTTCCAAATTCGTTCCAAATGGTGGAGGGTATTAAAAGTTCGGCCCGGCCGAACTTACTGCTTTTTAACTTGTTTAGTTTGCAAAAGTTTGTAAAAATTGCAACATTAGAAATGAAATGAAACCAATTCAGACTTTCCAAGTAAATTTTTATACCCTCCACCTTGGAACTTAACTTTGTCATTCCCTTTGTAACATGTCTAAATATTCGTCGTAGACCCTATAATGTATATATATTCATAATCAGCATAAAATTCTAAGTCGATTTAACGGCGTCCGTCTGTCTGTCTGTTGAAATCACGATACAGGCCACATAGTTTGACATAGAGCGTCAAAATTTAACAGAATAATTTGTATTGTGTCTAGGATGGTTGGTATTGAAAATCGGCCCACGTTTGGTATAGTCCCCATATAACGGTACCTCCCGATATTCGGTATTTTGATGATTTTTGCCGCATTTTTTCAAGGATTTGTCTAAAAATTGGTATTTGTTGGTCATTGTGGGTTCTAGCTGCGGTGGTGATACATTGCATGTATAGGTCCACGTTTTGGTATAGCCCCCACATAACGGTCCGCCCGATATGTGACAAAAACCAGCCATCCTAGATACAATACAAATTATTCTGCAAAATTTTGACGCTCTACGTCAAATTGTGGGCTGTATCGTGACGACAGGCGGACAAACAGACGGACATCGTTAAATCGACTCAGAATTTTATGCTGATTATGAATATATATACTTTATGGGGTCTACGACGAATATTTAGGGATGTTACAAACGGAATGACAAAGTTAATATACCCTTCTTTCCAAGGTGGTGGTTATAAAAAAACATATAGAGCAGAAGCGTATGATCCGCGGAATCAAACGCCTTAGACAAATCTAGACTAACAAGCAAACCAACATCAGAACCATTGAACACACCACGAATGAGATCTGTGAGGACTAAAAGGTGGTGCTAGAACCACGTCGAAACCCAAATTGAGAACTACTCAAACTCCATCCGTGGCCAAAATCAGTCCCGCTCTATTCCATTGCGTCGGAAATTCGGTTAAATTCTTTTTTCGATCTCCGCAGACGCTTATCCAACCCACCACATTTTTATTTAAAACATTTCATTTTTTTCATTAAACATGTTTCATCTTTATTATTATTGATTGCATAGCCACATACGTTATTTGTATTTGTTAAAATTTAAGTACATTTAATGAATTTTGGTATTATTACTACATGTGTTTCGTCTTGTTGTAGTTTTTTTTTATATTTAATTTGTAATTAAGTAAATGTAAGCTTACATAAAACGTTGTACAAATAAAAATGATATTAAGGAAGCAATTATTTTTAATAGTAAATTTATGGTCAAAGGGTTTCTTAAGAAATACAAAATATATTTATTTTATGTAGCCATTTATGTTGAAACAAAAAATTATAAAGAAACCAAAAGACGGTAAAATAAAAGAAGAGATATATGTATATATGCTCTAAAATAATCTGCGTTAAACTAAAAGTGCTAAGTGCTAATGTACATTAATAATAGACTCGCGACCCTTGCCGACACCGACCCATCGTATGGGTACACCAAGTTCACTTTCCATGAAGCGTACATATTTTTGTGCATTTTCGGGCAATTCCTTGAAGTCACGTATATTTTCCGTACACGTTTTCCAGCCGGGTAGGACGGCATATTCCACTTCAATGGTGGCCAATTCGGCAACGGTGCCGGGGAAATGATCCAGTTTGTCACCATTGGCACGCTTGTACCTGTATAGAGAGGCCGATTTGTTTACAATGTATTTTCAAAAATATCTTTTGAACTTACGCTACAGCAACTTTAATTTCTTCTAAAGTATCTAGGATATCGAGTTTTGTAAGGCAGATGCAGGTATAGCCATTAACTAATGAGGTATATTTCAGTAAAGGCAAATCCAACCAACCGCAACGACGTTTTCTCTTGGTGGTAACACCTACTTCAAAGCCACGAGTTTGAAGAAGATCACCAACTTCCTGTAACAATAAACATACGCGCAATTAGCAATGATATATAAAATGTTTTTCTCAAGTTTATCTCACATTCAATTGTTCGGTGGGGAAGGGACCGTCACCAACACGAGTCGTATATGCCTTGACAACACCAATAACTTCACCAATGGTTTGTGGTGGCAGGCCAAGACCAGTCAACACACCACCAATACTACAATTACTGCTGGTCACATAGGGATATGTGCCAAAATCAATATCCAACATTGCAGCATTGGCGCCTTCAACCAAAATGGTTTTGCCCTGACGCAGAGCGGTGTGCAAAAAGCAAATTGTGTCCTTGACATAGGGGCGAATCTTTTCAGCATATTCCTTATAACGTGCCAGCTCAGCATCAACATCTACATTGATGGAGGGGAACAAACGCACATGAGTGGCCACAATAGATTTGAATCTAAAAGAAATCCGAAATCAATAATCAATGACAACCATTGCAAAAAGCATGGACATACTTTTCGCTGAAGAGATTAAAATCGCCCAGCAATTCACCAACACGAATGCCATTGCGTGTGGCCTTGCTGGAGTAGGCTGGACCAATACCCTTTTTGGTGGTACCCAACGATTTGCCACCCTTTTCAGCTTCTTGCATACCATCAACAGCCTGATGGAAATCGAAAACCAAATGTGCACGATCGGATATAATTAAGCGATGTTCGATCTTTTGCAAACCTTTAGCTTCATTTTTGCTCAATTCATCGAATAGAGATGGCAAGTGTATGACAACGCCGTTACCTGTAATTAAAAATTATAGAAATCTGGGTAAGTTTTTTTTAACAATGAAAAGTGTTTCTATTTTATGTGTATTATTAATACGGATTAATAGTGTAGGTACAAAGCCGGATGCGAACCAATTGAAAAAGTCTTACAAATATTATATAAATTATTATGGACGATCCAATACGGGTAGTCCTTACAACACCAGCAGCAGCTATAATCATGGATTTGAGGGGGGAGTCATATAAAGCAATTTAATTCACTGGGAGGGGAGTAATTTAAATCAACTTTATTCCTTACACGAACTGTTGGAACAAATCTAAAATTGTAAGGTGAATTTTTCGCTGACGAAAAAGCAGACACTTGCTAGTACTCTTTAATTTCAGTGTTCAGTTTTATATCAGTGTTCCATGTTTAGAATAAAGATAAAGCGACGTACACCATCTTTACGGTTGACTAATGAAAATTTCGATGTCTAGTCCCTTTTCCTCTCCACGTACATACAATTTCATCTATCCAATGATATTAAGCTATTTATCGCAAACTTGTTTAAATCGTTTATAGGATGAATGCAAAAAAATCCTTATCCTTAGTATTTTCAAATCTTGAAAAAGAAAAAAGCATTTCTGAATTGTTTTTAGAAAATTGAAGAAAGTGACATTTAGTCTCAAGTTTTTCTTGCCGTCATTCATGATTTGTTGCTCATCGTTTATATTATCCAATAAATTTATTTTGATGGGAGATAAAATATCAAGATATGTTTGCAGCAAGGAACCAAATTATTGTTACTTCATGATTATTATTCGTTTCAGTATAGTTATTGGTATTGTGTTCATCAGATTTGTGCTTGCCAAAAAATAGTAAAAGAGCGAAGAAAATCTCAAAACGAAAGCCTTTCACTCTTTCCTTGACATTCACCGAATGCAAAATAAAAATAAATTATAAATATATAAACACACATACACGTATATGTATATATAACAAATGTATATTCTCATTAAGAACATTAGACAATGTTTCAGCAGATCAATTTTTCCTTGGATTTGTTGGTCGTTTTCCCTCCCCTCGATGCCGACAATGCTACTGTTTTCACTTTTTCATATGTAGATTTTTGTTTTTCTTTTAAAATTTGAATCTAATTTTCATTTTATTTACCTATATACTAATGTTTTTTTGTTTTGTGTGTACCTCCCCCACGTCGGTGCCTAGTATACAAATGATAATAATAACAACAAAACGTTTTTGTGTAATCACATGACTACGAAATGACGAACACAAAAAATAAAAAGAACAAGCATTGAAAAGAACATTTCATTGAACGTGCTAAATTTTTTGTTTTCTACAGGGAGGCACAGTCATTGTTGTTGCTGTGATTGTCCGGCAAATGTGATGCCTAAACAATTAATATTATATGTAATTATTTTTGTATAAAAAATTCAATGTTGATGACGTTAAACTATCTTAAATAAAATAACAGTTTTCCAGTAGATGTTAATAATTTAGGTATTATCAGAATTTTGGTGATGAACACATATCTCACATGTATGTGTACAATAGTTGATCCCATACATCATATTTCGAAACTGCCAGTTAGATCTATGATGATTTAAAGATAACAGTTTATTGAATTAGTGCTTCTAATGCTATATTCTTCTAACGGAATCAACAAAAACCCTTATGATTTCCAGAAGAACAGACTAAAATAAATTGAAATCTTAAATGACATCTAAACTCAGATTATTAGGCTCGTCTCGAAAGAGATATAAACACATAAATCATAAACATATGATCTTCGCCTTAACAAGGCAAAACTCAAAAATTACAAATTCAGCCGAGCCTGGCTGTGGGATTTGAACTGCGGACCTCGATGTGCAGCCAACTAGAAGTTGCTGGCTCAACATTCAGAGCCACTAACACGTCGTCCTAAAGCAGCACTATAACAAGTGTACGCAATGTAGTTGTTGTTGACAGAAAAATAATCACTAGAAAAAATTGTTAAAAAATCTTCTAATACAACTTGAGTCGAACTTGGAAGGTTTCTGGTGTGCACTTCGCATATGCTCAATCGCAATAATTTCGAAATAAATACTACTTTCCAGAAAGCCATCATCAACAACAAATATGCCTGATGAACCGGTTAACCAACGGCGAATCGCGTCGCATAGTAGGAGTGTGTGATAGTGTCTACCTGGCTTTCCTTTTTACTGCAAACTTCAGATCATTAAGCTCGTCTCGAAAGAGAAATAAACACAAAAATATTAATGTTTTTCCAGCAGTTGATGTTGTTGACAGATATTTTTCCAATATTCTAGTTCCAAGCTGTGATGTTTCTTCAAAGATGGGATCTACGTTACTTATGTAAGGTTTTCTTAAGAAAAATGGAGAAACTTTCTTATATGATGAAAATTTATTTATAGAAAATATCGCTGTGACATTAAAAACCTTGAACAAAGTCGGACTTAGAAGCAAAACAATTATTTAGCATTTCATCGCATATTCTGATATTTCATTCTTTATAGTTATATGTCTATAGTATACAGTAATTTTTTGTTATATGCCTAAATTTATAGTTATTGGTCGGTTACTAAGATAACCGATTTTCCATTTATGATATCGAAGAAAATTGCAAAAGTGGTAGACTCTTGCAGGTTCAGGAACATACCATATATGTCTAAATTTGACTTCCTGAATTAAAAATATTATCACACTAAAAGTAATATAGCTAAAGGGTGTTTTTCAAAGAGCTTGTTGATTGGAAATTTAAATAAATCAAATGCCAAATTATGAAATTGCAAAAATATTCCTTGTAATTTAACATTTAAATATATTTTCGGACATATGTCCACCACGACTATTTTGCACAAAGAGCATTCTGAATGTCCAATTTTCGACCACCTTTCCAGGCATTTGAGGACGTATTTCAAGCAATGTCACTTTGAATATCGGTTTCCAAAACTTGGCATGCAAAATATTGAATGTAGACCTATATTTGTTCTTTGTGGTGGTCTCAGACGGACAATTTTGTGCACCAGAGCAGTGACCAAAATAATTTGACAATTTTAAAAATCTTAATGACCCTCGGTAGGAGATTTTCTAGAATAGTTGACATATTTTTGATCAACATATTATGACACACAACAAATCGAGAGCTAGCCTAGATTGACTTAAATTATGCTGAAACTCATTTATTCTAAAAGGATGTTTGGCCAACATGCTATCCAGTCTAAAGGTTGAATACAAAACAGTACAATGAAAAAAAAAATATTATTCACAAAATGACAATTAACGAAACTCGAATCTGCCGATATGCGTGCCAACCAACATTCAACAATTTAAATAAAATACACCAAATAATTTTAAGAACTTTTGTACCATTCCGTGAATGATTGCCTAATTTGTTAACGGCCATGTCATGATGACGGTTACCGCCTGTCATTAAATACTTTAATATAAATTACTTTAGAATTGTTTGATAACGCAATAATGACAACAACAACAAAAGGGCTAAATGACACACGTAATAGAGCGAGTGCCAAACTTCACAAAAATACAACTGAAAATTATGTTTGTTTGGAATATAAAATATAATCAGTCTTGTGACATTTTTCGCTGAGGAAATGATGATAACAAAACATTAATTTGCAAAATACCTACAACAAATCTTTCTACTGAGGGGGGGAAATAGAACATCTACTAAAAGAACAAAACCGAATATGCGTACTGTGAAATAACAAGAAGCAAATAGCTCAAGAAAATATACAACAAAGTTATCAAATCGATTAAACAACCAAACAACAGGCAAACCTTCAGACAGACGATTGGCTTTTGTTTATATTTAATTAAAAGTTATTACAGAACAGTGATTGTTCTACGTTTGGTTGTTTGTTGATGGTTGTGGGTGGTTCCGCTACCTATTTGTTGTATAAATGGTATAAATTATAATAATAATCACATGGAAATTGCATACACCATTGGAGGATATTTGCACATACATTTTAATCAGGGGGAAAACAAAATAAATATATTGGGAATAATTTATTTTGCTTGCGGAAGACGTTGTATTTTTTTCAGTTGATGATAACCTTAAAAGGTTATAGTATTCTTTATAAAATCACCATAATATAAGTAATAATGACTAATAATATTCTCTACAGCCGCTACTAACTACTGGCAGATAACATTGCCTGTCGCCATACTCTAATTGAAAATGCACACATTTTTGTAATGCGTCACCGTAGATAATACCATATATTGTGTAGGCCTTGTAGTATTTATCGAATATTATGTAAAGAGTATAAATAAAAAACAATTATTTGTGAAATAGGGAAATGTTATTTTTTTAATTTTAGAAAAGACAGCGAGAAGTAAAATTCAAGGAGTTTTCTAGACCTTTTCACAAAATCATGCTAATATGTTTTGCTGACACTTTACTTATCTTATTCACTGGCCGTTACACACATTTATGGATGGCTTCCAAAATTAGTGGAACAATATTGGTCTAATTTGAGTGAAATATTAACATGTGAAAACCACGTAACTAGAATAACTTATTCAAATGCAATCTAAAAATGAAACTATCCCTGCAATACTAAGTAAGTTGAAAAATAAAGTCGAACTTTATGGCACAGAGAGCTTTTAGGTCATTTTGCAGCATGAAGGAACATGGATCTGTTAATAAATCCGATCAAGAGCAGATCAATTGTCGTATGGTAAATCAGTTTGAATAAATCTAGATTAAGTCAATGGATGCTGACAAAGAGGGTTAAACGCGCTCTAAACGCACTTTTTCTTCTTCTTTTTATGATTCTTTATGGCCAAGGGCAGTAGTTGCCAAACCAGGCATTCTTTAATTTAAACGATCGAAAACAAGAGAGAGGACGAATGACCCTTTACTAACAGTACTTTTTATAAATTAACTATTAAATTCTATTAAAATTTTCAAAATTGACAAAATCAAGAGAACGATGATCCCACTGTAAAATTAATTTATCAAATTGCCACAACTTCTTTTCAAAATGAGATAAGAAATTTCAAAATAATCCAATCGAAAGGTAAATATATGACTGTTATAATCAATCAAGTGTGATAAGACCTACTTTTAGAGTAGAAACGTGTTCGCCTTTTTCAATTCGTGTGCATATTAAAATGTGCAATACAAAGACATCTTAGTAAATGATAAATAAATGTAGTTTCTTTCAACTCCTTGCAAACAATTACTCTTTTTGGTTCGTCTGATAAAAGGCTTCATTTTTCAGTAAATAAGAACTTGAAGTTGAGTGTAAATGTTTACAATATGTAATTTGAAACCAAACAAATCTGTTTTCATTCATACCAGTCGGTTATTAATTTCTAAACTTACAAATTAGCTGAGGGGTAGTCAATTATTTGTCCAATTTAAAGAATACTTAATATTTCCTTTGCAAAAATATATACATTAAATGTCCGCTAACACTTTTTTACGATCTGTGTATATAATTTGAAAACAGTTCAACTACGTGATGATATAAAATGAATTCTGTTTTCTGTTATCTAATCTAAAAAATCTTGATGAAATAAAAATGATACAGATAGAAAGAACGGAGTCCAGTTACCTTGAAATAGTTAACAAAAAAAGAACACAACATATTCAATACATATAGCGAAATAAACTTACCAATTACTGAAATACATTTCTCATTGACAATACCACTGGGCAAAAGATGGAAATCAAATTCAGTGCCATTGGCTACGACAGTGTGACCGGCATTATTGCCACCCTGAAAAGTTGAATAAAAAAGAAATAATGGGGGATTAACATTTAAAAAATTTAACATATATTTTGAATGCGAATTAAAATCAACCAAGGTTAATAGGAAATAGTAATGCAACAGAGTTTGTAATGCCAGTTATTGATATTTATCCACAAAAGTGTTGTAAATGTAAGTTTTTCTTAGACATATGGAAATGTTATGGATGTTAACACGTACATATGTACCATGGTGAAAAGATCAACAAAGGGGCTGGCATGTGTATACATATATATTTATGGATTCTGGCAAATATTCAAAACAAAATATAATACAAATATAAATAAACGTTTGTATACATTTAGTACTTGTTTCATATTTCTTAACAAAACCAAAATATACTCATATATACATATGTATATATGTATGTATAGAACCATTTTCCAATGTCTTAAAAGTAATGATAATAAAATATTAGATAAATTATTATTCTATATAAAAAAATGTCAGATAAATTAGCAATATTTTGGCAAAGTTTTTAGTGTGAAAATTTAATATTAATGTTATACTCTTAATTGCGTATAATATTCATATAAGTACAACTTTTTTATTTGTATTACCGCAACGACAAGAGTTTAGGAGTATTCAACTCCTTTTCTACTCCTAAACTTATTCTAAAATTATTCTATTTTTATGATCCTAGCCAGATTTTCCATGGAAACTGCAACAAAGTCAAACGCCATAATTTTTACATTTTTTTTTTTAATTTTATTGAATGAAAGCAAAAAATGATTTCCTACATTTCCTAAAAATACCCAATATAAGTTGGAAACCGGGGATCAATATGGACAATGTACTCTCCATTATGACCTACAATTCCAAATTTAAACAAACATTTATATTCGAAACTTCATTTAGAATTCCACTTGAAATTCGAATTTCTTTGAGAATTTAATTTATTTAAAATTCGAGTTTATTAAATTATAGTTTGGGATATATTTACCAAATTAGTTTTGCCCTAAATCAATACGCTATAATCAAAAGTCGGACTTTTAAGGGGCAATAACACTTGTTCTTATAGAAATTCATGACATTGCAAATATATGTTTTCTAAAAAGAGTTGTTATTTTTAATTATCCGGTTGTAGCAGGGTTTGGTGTGTAGATTTCCGGTTCCAATTCCAAATAAAATACACCAAGGTTTTCTACATAAAATCGTTATAAAAATTCTTTATTGAAAATAAATCTTACATTTTTGACAATTGGTCCATATGCCTCAAACATGAATACAAGGGACTGCCATCGCTTTCACCAAGTATTCTATGTAATTAGCTTCGGAAGAATAAGCCAACCGGCCACACAATCGTGTTTCCAAGAAGACTTAGTTCTTACCTTATGGATTGTCTATAAGAGAATCAAGGTCCGGCGCATTAAACCTTCGCTCTTTTATAGCCATCCAAACAAAGCTTTTTTCCAAACATATCGATCGTTTACAATTTAAACGACTCTATTGTTAAATAAACAAGTGAAAGCTCTTTACGTTAACTTAGCAAAGCACAAAAGAGACAACAAAGAAAAACTCAATCAGTGATCGAACGCATCTCAATAACTGTTACATTGTAACCCTTCGTTCGTTCGATCACTCAATGTGTTTGGAATATACGTTACAACTTTAACAAAGTCCACTGAAGCAGGTAGAAAAACTAATCATAACAATGTTGCACAGTGAATCAAAACGCTTTAGTAAGGATTGACGAAAGCATTACAATTGCAAAATAGGTATAAAGATAAATAAATATGATTATAAATGTTAACGATAAATTAATAAAAATAAACAAAATAAATATATAATGTAAGATCGCTCTACATTCTCCCCCTTTGGAGTGCGGCTTCGGCCCGAAAGCACGACAAAACATCTAGAACTTCTTGGGTCTTCCTCTCTTGCGAATGGGATGAACTGGCTTTGGCATAATATTGGTATTGTCATCAGCATACAGTGTTAAGGCAGATGCGTGATATGTACCTAAGGGAATGTTGATGTTTTCAGGGGACGCTACTTCGTACGATGTCGAACCAATTTTCCTGATTATAACATACGGGCCGTCTCTCTTGGGAACAAACTTGGAAGTAACTCCTTTTGACGCTTGGCTCAGAACATGAGTATTAATCATTACAGTGGCTCCAATACCAAAATTTGGTTGCGACCTTCTGTGGATGTCGTACGAGTTCTTGTTTGCATCTTGTCTTCCTTCTTCACACTCTTTTGAATCTTGGATAATACTCGATAGTTTCCGTAGGTAAGACGTGATTTGTGGAAGAAAGTTTTCCCTCTCTATTACAGATTTCAAATCGTTCTGAACGTCGTCCAATGATCTTAATTCTCTTCCAAAAGTTAGAAATGCGGCCGAAAACCCTGTTGATTGACATTTCACCGTATTCATGGCAAACCTGATGGCACTTATGTGGGTAGACCAGGTGTTATGATGACCCTGGACAAGAATAGCCAGTTGCGCTTTCATGTCGCGATTTTTACGTTCAACTGGGTTTGCTTGGGGGTGATAGACAGGCGTAAATTGTTGCTGTATATTGAAACAGAAGGCAACTTGTTGCATTATGGCAGAAATAAACTGGACTCCATTGTCAGTTTTAAGTCGTCTTGGGATTCCATAACGAAGAAAAACCTCTTCAATGAGGGTTTTAGTGCATACCTCGGCTGTGGCTTCCTTTAGGGCAAACAATTCAACCCAGCGTGTAGCAACATCTTCGGCGATTAATATCCATTGATAACCATCAGCTGTAGTGGGCAGCGGACCAAAAAGATCGACAGCTAAAACTTCAAATCGTTGGTTAGTACTTGTTGTCTTCATGAGTCCAATGGGTTTCATGTTCGTTGCTTTAAATCGTTGACATTCTATACATGACTTGACATGTTTTGAAATTTCTGCTCGCATACCTGGCCAGAAAAACCTTTTTGAGATCCGTTGTATAGTTCTGTCCACCCCATAGTGCCCAGCGGTGCTATCATCATGATATACTTTTAAAATTTGAGCTCGCTCATGCTCTGGAACAACAAACTGCGCTTCATCGGTTTCATCATCATTGTATCGATAGAGAACTCCTTCATTCATAATGTATCCGCGATTAGTCCAATGACTCAAATCTTCGTTCTCAGATTCTAAGGAATTTATGATTCGTTTCAAAGATTCATCCTTCATTTGCTCTTCACGTACCACTGCCGGTGTTCTTGTAGGGAAATCAATTTGAAACGACAGAATAGGAGCAGTATTTGATTCATCAGCAAAACCATTTGGACGAGATAACATATCCGCCACGGAGTTAGATTTTCCTGGTGTATATTCAACTTGCAGGTTATATTGTTGTATCTGCAGAGCCCATCTGGCTAAACGACCCACGGGACATTTCATGCTCAATAACCATTTCAAAGGTTGATGATCCGTCATGAGGATTATTTCTGCTCCTTCTATATATCCTCTGAATTTGGAACAGGCCCAGACAATTGCAAGAGCTTCTCTTTCAGTTGTAGAGTAATTTCTTTCAGCATTAGAAAGCAATCTACTGATGTATTCTATCGGGTGTTCATCACTGCCCTCCCCCTGAATCAAAACTGCTCCTAATGCGAATGAACTTGCATCCGTTTTTATTATAAATGGCAAGTCATATTGAGCTTGTTTTAGTATTGGTGGCGATATAAGCTTTTGCTTCAATTCATTGAATGCTACTTTTTGTGGCTCTCCCCAAACCCAAGTAGCAGTTTTTTTTGTCAGATCCGTAAGAGGTCTTGCTATTTGTGCGTATTTGTCAATAAATTTTCGATACCACGAACAAGTTTGAATAAAAGATATTAATTCTTTCACATTTCGAGGTTCTCTTTTGCCTGATATTGCCTCTGTTTTTTCTGGATCGACGGCTATGCCATCGGAAGTTAAAACATGTCCCAGAAATTTAACTTCACTACAACAAAATCGACATTTCGAGTTGTTAACACGTAACTTGTAATGACCCAGGCGAGTAAACACCGAGTTTAAATCTCTCAAATGGTCTTCAAAGCTTCCTGAACATATAATTAGGTCGTCCAAATAGGCAAAAATTAACATTCCATTCAAGCCGGCTTTAAAATGGTCTATGAGACGTTGAAATGTAGCAGGGGCGTTTCTTAGTCCGAAGGGCATTCTAGTAAAACGGTATAAACCAAATGGAGTTATAAAACATGTTTTATCACGGTCTTTATCAGCCACCGCGATTTGGTAATAACCACTTTGAAGATCTAGTGTGGTCATAAACTTCGTACTTTTAGCCGAATGCAATATATCATCCATTCTAGGCAGTGGATAGCGATCAGGTTCTGTAAACCTATTCAACTTCCGATAGTCAACACAGACGCGAATACCTCCATCTCGTTTCGGAACCATAACAACAGGTGATGCCCAAGCAGATTCGCACTCTTCAACAATACCCAGTTCCAACATACTATCAACTTCTGCCTTCAATTCCTTAGTCTTCACGAAGGATAGACGATATGCAGGTGAAAATATTGGGGATTTATCGCCAGTGTTGATAGTATGCTCCATAAATGGTGTGGGTTCACTAATTGCTCCGAAAATCTCCCAATGGGTTTCCAAAAGCTGATCCAACAGTGACTTTTTATCCAAGTCCAGACAGTGGCCGTCAGAAGGCTTCAACATTTTGTAGTCCACCATAAATAAAGGAGTAAGAATGGAGTCCAAATACTCATCATTTTGTGATTTAACACTGACAAAATTGGACTTATTGTTACGTTCTGGAGTATCTTGTTCATGCAAAGGCAAACTATCTTTAAAAATGGCTTGAATTGAGTGTGGGGAGTAATCATTTCCTGTCATTTCCGGACCAAAACTCTCAAATTCAGACATGTAGACTTCACGGTTGTATTTTCCTCTTTCTTGTACGTCGACTTCGTGTTTTCTTTTCAAAGCTTCTGTTGCCGGTGCAGGAGTAACATTTTGAATGGGCTTAGGGTTTCGATTGACCACTTTTATGGTCTCCAGTAAGTTTAAATCTAATGGTAAGCACTCAGGAAATTCAAAATGGCTTTTCGGATCGTCTTCAAAACACCAGTAGCCTTGACCCATATTCAAAACAATGGCTGCCTGTTCCAGAAAATCTGCTCCCAACAGCGTACGATTATTTGGGGCGTTTGGCAAAATGACGAACTGTATGTTTAAGGATCTGCCTCCAATAAAAATTTTGCAAATAGTGGACAAACAATCTTGCACCGATCTACTTCCATCTGCCAAAGATATTTCCATTCTTACTTTGCTGTAAATACACCCATGAAAATCCATTACTTTTTTAAGATTGGAACTAGCAATACTGGTACGAGCTCCCGTGTCCATATATGCTTGTCCTGGAATGCCAAATATTAGAATATTTGCCATTGGAATTTCTCGTCCCACTAATCTAACTGCCATGCTATTAAAGCCAACATGTGCTTTATTTTTGTTTGCACTGCAATAGGGACAATTTGCACGAACAAATCCTGGTGCATTGCAACCATAACATGCCAATTTCGGTTTTTCCGTATTGGTTTGAGCGATATAATTGGCTTGCTGTCTGGCCTCGGATTCGATTTTCTCCTTCTTAAAACAGTTGTCCTTCGTATGACCCTTTTTGCGACAATACGTGCATCGAACTGGACCACCAGATGCTAGATTCTCGGTGTTCACAATCTTGCCACGCTCGTTTAGGGAATCTTCAGCTTCTCGTGCATCCTTGAGCAATTCGTCGAAATTTGCCACCTTATGACGAATAACTCGTTCACGAATCTGGACATGAAGCATTCCAAACAGGATGTCGATTTGGTCATTTTCCGACGGAACTTTTGGAAGTTTAGCGAATAACGCCCTCTTCTTCCTAATGAACACATCTGTGGCTTCATTCTTCTGCTGCTTTCCTTCACAAATTTCCGCATATATGCGCCATGCCGGCTTTGCTGGGCAAAAGGAATCACGCAGCATATTCACCACATCATCAAATTTCTTAGCTTTCGACTTCACGCCACTCCACCACTCGGAAGCATCACCCAACAACAGCATTGGCATACTATTAATGGCTTCCATATCTCCAATATTTTCCACAGTTTTGAAAGTTGTGATAGCCGAGATGAACTCCTCAAGCTTGGTCGAATCTTTTTCACCATTATAGCGAGCTGAACAATGGCTAAAAGTTCCAACTTTTACATTAGCTGCAGCTACAGCTTTTACTAACGTCTCAAATTGCTCAGTTGTTAAAGATGCACTGGTCATGATTTTTAGGCGTGGACTTCTTCGTGGGGTTTCAGGAATTTCCATAAAAATTTTATATATAAAATAAAAGTTGGGCGCCAATTATGTAGCAGGGTTTGGTGTGTAGATTTCCGGTTCCAATTCCAAATAAAATACACCAAGGTTTTCTACATAAAATCGTTATAAAAATTCTTTATTGAAAATAAATCTTACATTTTTGACAATTGGTCCATATGCCTCAAACATGAATACAAGGGACTGCCATCGCTTTCACCAAGTATTCTATGTAATTAGCTTCGGAAGAATAAGCCAACCGGCCACACAATCGTGTTTCCAAGAAGACTTAGTTCTTACCTTATGGATTGTCTATAAGAGAATCAAGGTCCGGCGCATTAAACCTTCGCTCTTTTATAGCCATCCAAACAAAGCTTTTTTCCAAACATATCGATCGTTTACAATTTAAACGACTCTATTGTTAAATAAACAAGTGAAAGCTCTTTACGTTAACTTAGCAAAGCACAAAAGAGACAACAAAGAAAAACTCAATCAGTGATCGAACGCATCTCAATAACTGTTACATTGTAACCCTTCGTTCGTTCGATCACTCAATGTGTTTGGAATATACGTTACAACTTTAACAAAGTCCACTGAAGCAGGTAGAAAAACTAATCATAACAATGTTGCACAGTGAATCAAAACGCTTTAGTAAGGATTGACGAAAGCATTACAATTGCAAAATAGGTATAAAGATAAATAAATATGATTATAAATGTTAACGATAAATTAATAAAAATAAACAAAATAAATATATAATGTAAGATCGCTCTACACGGTACATTTGACAAGTACGATACTCGCATCAAAAACGTATATACATTTTTAAAAATCGCTACAAAAATCGTGAAATCTTTAGTCACAATTCCAATTGTCTTAAAATAAATTCTGTATAATTGTCGGTTATTGTATTGGTAATATCAGCACTATCTCATTATATTTAAAATTAAAAAAAAAAAAAATTATTACCCAAAAGGGTAAGATTGAGAGACTAGGGAAATTTTAAATTCATTCCATGTCTGTCAGTTCGCCCCTGGGTTATATAGCTTGCAATATTTAAGATCAAGCTTCAAAAGGCAGAGACATTGAAATTACTCCTACATTCTGGATTATGAAAACGATGCAAACACGATCAAATTTTGTATAGCTCCATATAACGTTTCCTACCGATTTTCGGTATTAAGAGTATATCATCCACATTCTAAAAACTACTGAACTGTAATTTGACATTTCTGCAAAAAATCGCAAACAATGAGGTCAGTATGTCAACGAATCATGATTGCGTATTTCTACAACGGTTTACAAAAATATGTCAACACATAAGTATAGAGTGTCTTAACCATATATGGGGTTTGTTATTTATAAAGCTGGTGCATTGTTTAAATGCAACGTGTAGTTATAATTCGAAAGCATGGGTACCAAAAACGATATGAAAAATAATAAAGAAGTGAAAACTATAGCTAATCCGTAACAAATCAAGAGACAAAAAAATAAGATATTCCTATAACAATTTTAGCAGAAATCAATAAGCCATTTCCAACATGTTTAAAAAAAACATATCAGTTATTAAAATCTTACGTATACATCAAGCAAATACTAATTTTGTAAAATAATATAGAAGAATTGAGCTTTTATCAGAATTTATTGGATGTGATGCAACGATTTCACTGGTTTATTTTTTAACTTTATTTTTTCAGCTTTGAACCGTTTCACAATGAATTTAACAAAATATTCTCTTCTTGATTCTCCTTTAGGTGGGAAAAATCATATACCTACAGATATCCAATTGTTGCAACGCTTTCCGTAAGTATACTATATAATAACGGGCCAAAAAAAACATTAAACATTGTATATTTACTTCTGTCATTTTCAGACTGGAACTGTTGAGTTTCTAATTAGAAAAAGTGCTAAATATCACCTCAACAAAACAAATATATAACCTCATCATCTACGCTATCTGGTTGATTGTCAATAATTTCCGATAATTGACCGATTTACAAAAACAGCATTGAAAATGACATAATATTTACAAATTAGAAGAATTAGATTTCATTCTAAAACGCAACAACAATTTAAATTGAATTCAAATAAAAAAATTCTAAACAGAAACGTGATGAAATAGGAAGTGAGCAATCAAGATGATGTGGATGATGATGGTGGTGGTGATCAGCAGCAACAAAACAAAACGCAAAAAAAAAACAAACATATACGACAATATCTTAGTGTAGAAGACAAGGGAAAGGAAACGTGCCAGACCTTTGCACTGTAGAAAAAGAAATAATGTTACAAATAAATATATTTGTACTGGAGTATGTTGGTTATGTAAACCCCTTTTCTAGTAGCAGGCACACAGAAACTAGAAACATATCAAATGTAGAAGTATATACACATTTTAGCGCTTTTGTTTGTATATGAAAATTATGGCAAAACACACAGAAAACGTACTTGTGTATGTATATTTGTTCTTCCCCTTTTTGGCCAATGGAGAAAGAAACAAACGGCAAAACAATATGATACCATAAACACATGTGACTAACCAATAAACAATAAAGGAGTTAAAATAACCAAACATGGACTGGCAATTCTGATGCAATATCATTATGTCTGTCATGATGTCTTATATCAGCTGCTTTGCTTTTGGGAATCCTTAACCTGTTTTGGAGGTAGGATTATGAAAAAGCATTTAAAGGTGTTCTTTTTCCATTCTTAAGACAACACATGCAACATACACATGATTTTGTTCTCTAGGTATACTATTTCCAAACGTTATTGTGTGTTCTGTTTGACAGCCAAACAGGCAGGCAAAATGTCCTTGACCATAGAAAAGCAAACCAAAGGAAAGACATCAAACATACGAGTGGGAGGAATTTAATACACAAAACTATGAGACGCCCTTTAAATATGTAATTCTTCGTTATAAATTTATGACTATATAGAAACACATGTTAATCATACCTGACATCTGCAGACAATATCAACCTCGGAGGCCAACATATCCACAACTTTGCCTTTGCCCTCATCGCCCCATTGGGCTCCGAGCACAACATCTACCTTAGATTTGTACATATTAAGGCGTCTTTCGTGCAAATTTTCGTAGTGATTGCCGTTCATTACACTATTATTTACAGGTGTCGTTGTTTCCATAGTTTGATGGAGTCACACTTGTTGTAGTCCTTTAATTCCACGTCCGAAAATTTAGAAATATTTGCAAAAATTATAACACACACAAAATTTTATAACAAAATGCGCGTTTGCTTGAGCGGCTCGTTTTTGATCTAACCGACCGCCGCCAGACCAGACCGTCTCCAACACAATCGTCAACTGTAAAGAATTGAAATTCGGTCAGTCAAACGAATGACATTAATTTTGACATTTTATGTGGTATGAACAAACGGCATGGCATGGCGTATGAACAAGGTGCTCCTGCAAATTTTAAAAACAATATGAAATGTCAAAATTTATTTACGTTTTGTTGGCTTTGTTTATCTTTTGTTCTGTGATTTCAATCACAATAGTGCATTTTGACATTAAATTTGGTAGGCTGCTGGCATGGCAGGGCGACCTTATGCTTAGGCTGCACCATATGTATAAACATGGCCGCCACAACACAAAACAAAATTCAAGTAAATGATTAAACTACTAATAAACAATAAAATGTTCTCAGCAAGTAACAAAATGGCGCAAATCCATTTGGTGTAGAATTCATTCATGAGAGGCAGTCACTCACTTCCGAAAAAGTATTATTTTACAAATTTATTATTTAAAAAATGTTATAGGTGACAATCCTTGAAGTATAAAATTGTCTATAGAGGTTCCCGTTTTGGTAGGGACCCCATATAACGGCCTCAGACACTTTATGGTTTTTGAAAAGTTTTACATATCATTCAAACGGTCTTACTGGTATTTGTAGTTTAAAGTGGAACACGTTTGAATTCAGATACTTTTATATAAAAATATTTTTTTTTTTTTTTTACCAAGGCATGGTAGAATCAAGGAGGTAAAGTTATGCAATCACATGTTTACATTTTTTAAAATTTTTTTCATCTGACAACATCTTAATGTCAAAATTTGTATTATGGTAGAAGAATATATGTAGGTAGACGCGTCGACACAGCTGCTGGGACAATGAACTGTCAAACCAATTTTGGAATTGAAAATGTTGAATGAAAAATTATTTAAATTTGTAAAAATTGTTGAAAAACGCGAATTATAATAGCCTCCGTAGTAAAAGAAAACATATAAAAATCCACTTATATTTGAAAAAACATTTATTTTTTTTTGACATATCAATGCTCCCAAGCGTTGATGCATCTACCTGTATTCTTCTGCCATGATTTGTATTTATAAATTCATTGTATATACACAAATCAGAGATGGGAACTTGCTTTTATGTAGTGAAATGTGACAAGGTAAATTACAGAAAATGCAGAGATGGTAATGCTTATTTTAAATGACTACCTTCTTAATTTTACCATGATTTAAAGTCTTTGGCCGGTTATTACATCTTTCCGATAGATAAAAAAGTGATGTTGTCGGACACATAAATCATTTTCATTTAAGGATGAACTGTCTGATAAGCAAATGTTCAGACCATCTTCCCTTTATCTTTTAACGTAAAGTTTACTGATAATATATCAACAACAGCAAAATTTATTTAAATAAAAATGGATAACGCAAATCGTTTATTTTATATTGAAGAACTGATTTATAAATTTATTTCACGAAATCAATTACAAATTCGTATTTCGTTTATTATTTTGAAACTAAAATGAAGATGCCATTGTGAAAAAATGCAGTGAATACCAGTTACTTTAAAAAAACTTGCCATATCTCTGTAAAAAATGCATATATTTTAAAGGAAAGATGTAATAATGAGAACTCGATAATGTGAACTTTATACTTCACTGTTCCTAAAGTAAGGGATAACAAAAGTGGACTATAAAGGAAAGATGTAAATGCGGGTTTTTAAGTCATATAGGCTTTATTTTTGTATCTATGATTTTCTGTGGATACTGAATCACTCTTCTATTCTTGGTTTTCTGTGGTATTTGATGAGAGTATACAAAAAATGAAACAAATAGCAATACTTACCGTGAAACAAATAAAATAAAAATTACTAAAAGCACGATTGCACTATTTTTTATAAATAAAAATAATTAAATATTTTAAATTTTAGGGAAAAAACTCACATTTTGTGATTTTTTTGAATTCTGAGAAAAAGGAAGGGCTTTAAAGTTAACTTAACAAAAAGCCCACATTGCAAACTATTGTCAATAAACTCAATCAAATTATTGACAATATGTTGGGTTTTATTATTATGTAAGCTTAATAATAATAATAAGCTTACGAAAGTAATACAAGTACATAAAAAGCTTGAAAGCATGTCATATTTCAATTTTTAATGAAAAACGACGACACGATTTTAGTGGGGATTGTATTCCCTTTAAGAAATGTCACAAAATATTCCTAGCAATGACTTTAAGCTTCTTATGTACTTTCATCCATGGTACAATGAATACAAGGTAGGCTAACTTTGAAAAAATTGCAAGTATAGAGGTCTACCTGATCATGTTCTATATATCTCTTATGGTTTATTTCGCGACAAAAACTGTAGACTTTGTCGATGCATATGTTGCAATAAGTATTTTGAAAGACCCGAATTTGAATATTTTCTGAACAATTTTTTTATTATTGAAAAGAATACGCACACATTAACAAATGAAGTTGACATATTAAGCCAGAAAAATAAAAAAAAAAATTAATCATATGGTAGTTCTGCCCTACCTTGAATTTATTTACATCTAAGTGCACCAGTTGTCGGCACTTTCTAAGTGTACCAGTAGTCGGCACTTTTAGGATTTTCAGGTTTTCAGTCGTTCACCATTTTGAGTGGAACTTTTCAATCATTACAAAGTTAATTTATTCAGATTTGAAATTTTGTATAGTTTTACAATAATAAATAAAGTTTTAATAACTTTTTATTAAATTTCATAAAAATTGGAGTTTTATTAATATAATGCTTTTTGGCCAGTAGTCGTCATCACTTGCCAATTGTCGGTATGACATGTTCCAACATACCGCCATACCGATTTTTTTGAAAGGATAATTAATAATAATAGGGTATAATGTGAGTTACTATTTATACTCTGTTTTGTGAGTAATAAAATAGTTCTCTCTTATTTTTAGCTCGTTTCTGCTACACTTTTTCACTGCTCTACTAGACTATTGTTTAGTTGGTGATGGTGAATCGAGGTGTAGGGTTCGAGCTTCTCGTGAATTATTAAGATAAATTATTAGGTTTAATATGTTATTTGTTAAGTTTGAATTAATCATTGAATTTGTATTATGTTAGGGTATTGTAGATAGATAATACATGTTATGGGCCCTGTGGTCTTATTTATATTTCTTTGTAAGGCAAATAAATGAAATGAAATAATAAAAAAAAATAATACATTAAAATATTATATTTTTGTTTAGTTAAACTGATTCCACCTCTTTATTATATTTTTCTTAAGAAATGGATTGTTTCGTTCATGCTGAAGACCTTCGCAGACAAAAATTTAATTTTTATTAGAATAAATCATTTTTTGTACTCTAACCGACCGTTGCCAGACCAGACCGTCTACAATGAAATTCGAAGCCATCGATAGTTAGCAACGTTGCTAATTTCACAAATTTCTTTTTCATTCATAATTTTATAAATAATTTTTTTTTTTTCAAATCGGTTTCAAGTTTTTTCCTTGACGCTCATTTTAAAAAAGTATTAAATGTGAAATGTTGATTTACTGAGTCATCCTGTAGTTTTGGTGCAATTCGATGTTATCGATAGTTAGCAAAGTTGCTATAAAATGTTTTTTGTTTGTTGCGTGAAAATATATAATATTGAATAAAAAACATATGTAAGTGTGTGATAGCAATAATTATAAGTCATATACAAAATGGACATACAAACGGAAATACACATGGATAATAAAAATAACAGAACAAATATAAAACTCTTAGGCTTAACTCTAGTTTAGTAAAAACTCTTCAATTTTTTCGAAAATTTTTTCAGTGGTAGGTATTTTAACCATGATCCCGGGAAACTATTTTTTTCTTGGGGGACGGACCTGAGACCCCAGATGGGGTAAGATGTTACGGTTCGGAAGTTATAGTCAAATTATCGATTTTTTGGACCCGGATTTTTTATAAAACCCCCAAAAAGTAAAAAAAGGGTCCATTATGGGGGACAACAAAATTGATGCCAAATTATAGCTGACACTTCTACCTTTCCAAAATGCTACAATTTGTGCTAATACCTTCACTGAGTCCAGAGATATGGGTCTTTCCATCCGCATAACCCGATTCTTACCAGTTCATTAAAACTATGTTTTCAATAAAAAAAGGTATATTTTGCGTAAGAATGAAATTCAGAAATCTTTGGTTCGCGTTAGCCGGTGTAGGACATACCCAGAAGAGAAAATCTCAAGCCCCGGCCGAAGGCCGGCTACTTACAAAAGGTATCCAATTTAGAAAACTTTGGTTCGCGTTAGCCGGTGTGGGACATACCCAGAGGAGAAAATCTCAAGCCCCGGCCGAAGGCCGGCTATTTACAAAAAGTGTCAAATTTAGAAAACTTTGGTTCGCGTTAGCCGGTGTGGGACATACCCAGAGGAGAAAATCTCAAGCCCCGGCCGAAGGCCGGCTATATACAAAAAGTGTCAAATTTAGAAAACTTTGGTTCGCGTTAGCCGGTGTGGGACATACCCAGGGGAGAAAATCTCAAGCCCCGGCCGAAGGCCGGCTATTTACAAAAAGTGTTAAATTTAGAAAACTTTGGTTCGCGTTAGCCGGTGTGGGACATACCCAGAGGAGAAAATCTCAAGCCCCGGCCGAAGGCCGGCTATACAAAAAGTGTCAAATTTAGAAAACTTTGGTTCGCGTTACCCGGTGTGGGACATACCCAGAGGAGAAAATCTCAAGCCCCGGCCGAAGGCCGGCTACTTACAAAAGATATCCAATTTAGAAAACTTTGGTTCGCGTTAGCCGGAGTAGGACATACCCAGAGGAGAAAATCTCAAGCCCCGGCCAAAGGCCGGCTATTTACAAAAAGTGCCGAAATTATGAAACTTTGGTTCGCGTTAGCCGGAGTAGGACATACCCATAGGTGAAAATCTCAAGCCCCGGCCGAAGGCCGGCTATTTACAAAAAGTCCCAAATTTAGAAAACTTTTGTTATTCCGACGACTGCTACGCGAAATAAACACTTTTTTATTAAAAACATCATTTTAATGAACTGGTTAGAATCGGGTTAGGCGAATGGAAAGACCCATATCTCTGGACCCGAAAAAGGTATTAGCACAAATTGTAGCATTTTGGAAAGGTAAGAGTGTCAGCTATAATTTGGAAACAATTTTGTTGACCCCCATAATGGGCCCTTTTTTGACTTTTTGGGGTTTCATAAAAAATCCGGGTCCAAAAAATCGATAATTTGACTATAACTTCCGAACCATGACAACTTACCCCTTCATGTGACCACTTGTTGGATAGGTATTTCCATAAGCTTTCAATCGATACCCATATTGTCTATATCGGGTAAGTGGATCCGGGTCCAGGCGGGGTCTAGATCCCGGACTTTCGGGTCAAAAATCTGGGGTTCCGGGTCCGTCCCCCAAGAAAAAAATAGTTTCCCGGGATCAGGGTAAAAATACCTACCTCTGGAAAAAATTTCGAAAAAATCTAAGAGTTTTTACTAAACTAGAGTTGTTTCAACTCTTATTGCATGATAGCAGCTATAACAATGTTTATGTTAATGTTTATGAAAAAAGTGAATTAACAACGTTTGCTCCGTCCCAGATAACAGATTTATAATATCGAGAAACAATTGCGATGCTAGTATACTCCAGCAGGTTTTGGAAAAGGGCTTATGTTTCTATCGGAGGGCAATGGTAGAATAATAGAGGTAACATCAAGTGTTGTTGTATAAAAAACGTAACAACAACCACATACAAATTTATTTCTGTACGTAATACAAGTTTACAGTTATATGTCCAAAAATGTGAACAAAACAATTAATAATAATTCAATAAATTATTTTAATTTCAAAAATGTTAATTTTTGGAATATGGATTATTAAATTTCAATTGCAGAATAATAGTTCTTAAAATATTTAATTTTAATTTGCATATCATTCCACTGAATGTATAATTGTTACATGGTAGAATAAAGAAGGTAAAGTCATGCAATCATATTTTTTCAATTTTTTTCAAAATTACTCATTTGTCATTATCTCATTGTCAAAATTTATTTATAAATCCATTGTATACAAAAAAATCAGAGATGGGGGTTTGTTTCCTTTGCATTGAAATTCGACAAGGTAAATTACAGAAAATGCAGAGATGGATACGCCTATTTGAAATGACTTTACAGTACGTTTATATATAAATGGGTTAACCGACTGGATTTGGATTAAAATTGTCATATCCATTACTTATACTTCAAATAAATCCTCTCAAAGTAGGTTAACCCTACAAAAAGTTCTAACGTAAACATGGCATTACCTTCTTAATTTTACAATGAGTTTTGTTATTTTCTATTATTGTCCTGCAGTCAAATTTTATATCAAAAAAGTGTATACCTATGGTAAATCAAGAAATGCAAATAATGCCATTTTTACGTTAGAACATTTTGTAGGGTTAACCTACTTTAAGAGGATTTATTTGAAGTATAAGTAATGGATATGACAATTTTAATCCAAATCCAGTGGGTTTACCCTTTTATATGTAAACGTACTGTAAGTCACAAAACGTCGTATTGGATATTGACACTATAGAGTAAAATCAATTATACTTTTTTTAATTCATCTAATTGTAATATTTTCGAAACCTCCCATTTTTTTAATATTCTTTTTCTATTTTGATCAATTGTCAATATTGAAAATGTTTAACTTTGAAATTTTGTACTCCCGACGTATTTGGGTAACAGTCATATAACTACATGTGTGTTTTAGGTAACGTGTAAATTAAAATAATATGTAAATATTTCATGGTAGAAGAATACAGGACGCTTGGGAACATTGATATGTCAAAAATTTTCAAGTGCTTTGTCAAAAAAGTAGACTTTTAATATGTTTTCTTATGCGACGTCATTCGGAGTTTATTATAATAAGCGTTTTTCAACAATTTTTACAAATTTCAATAATTTTTCATTCAACATTTTCAATTCCAAAATTGAGTTGACAATTCATTGTCCCGGCAGCTGTGTCGATGCGTCTACCTATATTCTTCTACCATGAAATATTTGCATAGTAAAATGAAGAAGATTTTACCGCGTTTGGATCATGGTAGAAGAATATAGGTAGACGCTTCGACACAGCTGCTGGGACAATGAACTGTCAAACCAATTTTGGAATCGAAATTTTTGAATGAAAAATTACTCAAATTTGTAAAAATTATTAAAAAATGCATATTATAACAACCTCCGATTGGCGTTGTGTGGTAAAACATAGACAAATGTACTTATTTTTGCAGAAATATTTAAAAAAGTTGAAATATCAATGTTTCCAAGCGTTGATGCATCTACCTGTATTTTTCTACCATGGTTTGGATAGAAAATGTTATCCAGATTAAGCCACCTTATCAGAATTTATTGCGTAATCCGGATTTATTCATCCTGATTAACCATACAAAAATAGATCTTCTCATGGCTCAATAAGAAGGGTTGCAAAACTTCAAAGAAAATAGGCAAATGCAACTTTGTGGTCGAGGTTTATAGTGCCATTTTTAAATTTGCAACATTTGGTTTTTTTATTTTTATTTTTTAACAATTTTTTATATTGGAGAAAAATTCGCGAAACAAGAATGGAATTTCGTCGTTATTCCAAAAAATTGAATCTAAAATGTAGGATAATAAAGTTTTATCCCAAAATGGTACAATTTGTTACCCATTAACATCAAAATATGAATTCATTTTGCAGCCAAATTTAAATTAATTTCAAATGATTTTATTTTTTATTTAGAAAAAAATTACATACACAAAATTTGTATATGTTTTGAGAGAATATGGAGGCCAAAAGAAGAAAATTGTATTTAGGGAGTAGCTTTGTACCTTATGTAATTGTGCCATGGATATTCTCTCGACCGGATTTATTTAATATCCGCTGGGTTATCATACTCATGGAAAGCTACACTGGGTACAGCATTGGTTCTTTAAAATTGCTCTCACTTTTTGCCTGAAAAATTAAAACAGGAGTTTTAAGTTACAATATTTATTGAACATTATCCCTTGGTGCAAATCCCTTGGTGCAAATTTAATTTTTTTCTTCATCCTTTTCTGTCCGATGGTCTGAGATAATGGTTTGCCAGCTTATTCCTTGAATTGACTGACAGTTTGATTTCCAACATAAATGATACTGTATGGTTGAAGATACATGTCAAAAAAATTTAAATGTTATTTTTTCGAAATTAATTCGATTTGTATATATTTTCTTATACGACATCAAGCGGAGGCTATTATAATATGAATATTCGACTACCTGTATTCTTCTACCATGTGATACTGTGTCCGTTAAAACAACAAACAAACCTAAAAAGCTGACTTTAGACATTTCTGCTTTTGTTTTGTCCTCTCTTACTATTGTTGAAGAATATAGGTAGTCGCATCGACACAGCTGCTGGGACAGTGAATTGTCAAACTAATTTTGGAATTCAAAATATTGAATAAAAAATATTGGAATTTGTAAAAATTGGTGAAAATATTTGACATATCAATGTTTCCAAGGGTTGATGCATCTACCTGTGTTCTTCTACCATGTCTCCTACCAAATTTTTCAGCCAGAGATCCCATATAGTCATGTTTTATCGTAATAACGCTGTCAGAATTCGAGTGTGGCTTTGAAATTCCTTTATATGTCAAAAACAAGTAAGCCGGTCCGAACGATGGTAAGCCAAACACATTGTTAACGGCGTACCGGTTAAAAACTAACTGTCTTGGAACTCGATATTTTCCCTCCTTTCCATGTTTATTAGTATTTTGTTTATATCTATTATTCTAAACAACAGAATATTCTTTTTTAGTTCGAAAACTCCATTAATTAAATTTGCAATATATGGACCAAAAGCCAACCTACATATCCTACATGCGAAAAGTAAGTATGTAATTCACAACCATGTTCCATGGTCCACGTCCTTTTTAGCTCAATCAACTTAATATTCTTAACGGCGTCAAAATGACGACCTAAAGCCGGCCGGTTTCTTCCTCGAGTTGAAGAAACTTACTTCCGCGGTTCGTTTAATGAATGTGTTCAGCGGTTCGATTTCTTCATGTCTCTTTCGTAAACAACAGCGGTCCCTCCGGGATTTTACCTTCTTGTTCTTTTTTATCGGACGTTCCTTTTTGATTTCTTATTTGTTTCGTTCGAAAAGTCGATTGAGAAGCTTATCGTGGGGAGCGAGTTAAATATCTAAAACATTTAATGTAAAAAAAATAAAATTGCACATATTTGTGGATTTTTTACATACATTTTTACATTTTACATTTGTTTGTAAATATTTTTCTCTTTTAAACTTCTTATACATCATGTCAGAAATTTCGGAAAACCTGTGCCAAATGTAAGTATACATGTAATACATTTATGAATCAAGGTGCGATGTTGTGTTGTTCAATTTCCAATTTGCGCCGCAGGCTTTGAACTTAAATTGAAAAGTACGAAAGGTCGAGAGTCGGATCTATAGAATGGCCTAAGTTGCCAATCCAGGAAAACACACAAAACCTCTAGTACCCAATATATTTCCACCAGCCGAGGAGGATGTGCGACAACAGGCTATTATGGGTAAACTAAGGATAGCAATTGGAGAAAACAATCTGGAGACTTTGAAAAGTTAAAATGCTTCTCTGTGTGTTCCAATATGTGGAAGGAATGTTTAGGGTCTGGGGTTTTCCCAACCAAAATTTCCAAGCTGAAAATAGAGGAAACACATTACTATTTCGCTGCATATTGGTTTCCGTTTGAAAAAGGTGTACATTAACTGCCGTCACTAAATATGCGATATGATTACAAGTATAAAGAATAAGTTAAATCGTGAGGGGAAGTATTTGAATTGCAAAACTAGAGCCAATGGGCCGATCTATGGAAACGAAAAGATTACAGCTTGGGGACTCATGGTAACGAACATTATGGATCTATCCTGTTATATACCAGGATATAGGTTTTTGAAATTTGGTACTAGAACGGTATGAAAAGTATTAAAATGCACTAAATATGGTATTCCTTGTATTTGAGGAAGCAGAATTAAATGGTAATAAATTAGTTATTGGAATTGTGGTATACCAATAGAGCTAGAATTCTGAAATTTGGAATGAGAGTCACTGGTGGAGTGCAATACAGGTGTACCAAAGGGTTTGTGGAATTTCGAACCTTTTGGTTACGGAATGTACCATTTGGTATTATGTGAACGATGTGAAAAGATAGAGCTAAAAAATTGAAATTTAGTATAAGAATCAAGGTTGGAAAGTATGTTTGATATACGAAGATGGTTTTTGGAAATGTGTACTAAGAGAGCGAACTGTACCAAATGTTATTAAATTTGGAACAGTTTGGTTTAGAATGAACGGATGAAGTTGGAATTTTGAAAATTTGTATTGGGATCACTGTTGGTGGTACGTTTGTGATTAGGAGGCGTTTTCAGAAATGTGTGTTATAATTGTGCCAAAAGTACTGAATGACATTATTTTTGGTAGTAGGCGAAGGGATAGAGATAAAATTCTGAAAATTTGATATTAAGATTACTGATGGTATCTGTGTTTGAGATTTGGCGGTTGATTGGAAAGGCTTCCCATATTTGTACGAAAATTACTAGATAGTACTAAATTCGGTTTTGGATGAAATTATATTTGATTCTGATGTCTCTGTTGGTATCTAAATTTGACATACGGAGGTGGTTTTGAAAATGTGAACTATAATTGTACGAAAAGTTCTAAATAGTACTAAATTTCATATTAGTAAAGGAATAGAGTTAAAATCCTGAAATTTGATATGGGCATCACTGTTGGTGTAAGTAGTTGAAATACGGAGGTGGTTTTGAAACATACAAAAAGTGCAAAATGTGCCGTTGGGTGTTAGGATACATATGGAATTCTAAAATTTGCTATTGAGTTCACTGTTGGTGTCTATAGCGGAGAGGAAGAGGTGGATTTGGGAATGCGCACTATAAATACTTCTAAATTTGGTAATGGGGGGAATTAAAGAGTTGAATTCCTGAAAATTGATATTAAGGTCCACTGTTGGTATTTGAGGTTGAGATATGGAGATTGGTTTGAAAATGAATACTGTATTTATTTGAAAATTACTAAATGCTACTAAACTAGGTATTTGGAGAAGAGATAGAGCATGAAACTATGATTGAGATATGGAACGGTTTTGCAAGCAAATACTAAAATTATACGAAAAGTACTAAAAGTTACTAAATTTAGTATTGAGCGAATGTAAAGAGCTGGAATACCGAAATTTGATATTTAGGTCTGTTTTGTTTTTCAAAGGCATACTGTGATAATACTAAATTATATGAATGAAATGAAAATGCTACTAAATTTTGTATTAAATAAATGTATAGAGTTAGAATCCCGAAATTTGATATTGAGGCCTCTGTTTGTATCTGGTGTTGAGATCTGGTAATGGTTTTGCAAATGTGGCCATTAATTGTTGGAAAAGTGATAAAGTGTCCTAAAAATTGTGGATGACTGTGTGGCTAGAATGGAGAGATGTAGATTGTTATTGATATGCGCAATAAATGTTACTAAATTTGGTATTGGGTTAAGGTATAGATCTGAAATTAAATATTGAGGTTGGTTTTTGGGGTTTACATATGAAGACGTTGAAATAGTTTTGGATAGAAAAAATGCATGTGGGTCCATTGTGCGATGTGTTTAGTAATATCATCCACGGTAAACTTTAAAATGAAAGATTTTGATTTTTTGGGAACGGTAAACATTTTCCTTTTTCTTCCTGAAAAAGCAGAAACTTTAATAATATGTTAAATCCTGATTTTTTTCCAAATTGAGCAGTTTTGAGTACAAAAAGACCTAAAATGGACAGTTGGAATGAAACGAAAATTTTAAGGTGAAGTTTTCGCTGACGAGTAGAGGGCACTTGCTAATCCTTAAATAAAATTCGAGCTATTTAACACTTGTTTCATTGAATGTTTGTATTTCTCTCCCATTTCAGTTGTAATAAACAAAAGTTTAAGTACACCTGTCCACGCTGTAATATAGCCTATTGTTCTGTGGATTGCTATAAATCTCAGGCCCACATAAAATGTTCCGAAGCCTTTTACAAACAATGCATACAAGATGAATTGGCAGCGAAAATGGGGGACGGTGGCCAAGGGAATAGCGATGATGTACGAAAAATGTATGATATTTTGAGAAGAATACGAGAATCTGATGCCGGCATACCGATTGAAGATTTTGACCGAGATTCATTAGATTCAGATGATGAAACTTGTGGACCCGAAGACGACGAAGAGGCAGACACCAATGGGGTGGAAGGAGGCCAACACGGCGAATTTGAAGAATGCTATGAATTAGATATTGCTGAACGTCTCAAAGATGTTGATATCAATGATGCCGATGAAGTATGGGAACACCTGACACAAGAGGAAAAAGAAGAATTCAAAAAGCTCCTTGCGACGGGAGATATTATGAAATTAGTACCAGATTTTAGGCCATGGTGGTTAAAAGACAATAAAACTTCCAAAATTGTCGATATCTCCAAGAAAAACGAAGGGGATTGTCATCGAAATATTCCACCAATTTATGAAAATATAGCAACCTTTTCTACAATTTGTAGTAAAGAACCGGCACCTTGTCTCCACTACAATTTGTGGAATATATTGACTGCTTATGCTTGTACAGCACGCTATTTTCATGGTGAACAATTGGCAAATCCAAATGAATCTGCTGCATTTATGGTAAATTTAAGTTCCAGCCTTAAATATGGTACAAATTTTGAAGAGGTCGAGGATGCGATAGTCTCTGTAGAAATGGAAGCGTTGACTACAGGAAATGGTGCTGCTCAACTTCTACCAACGAATTCACCTCAAACGTTGATAGTTGAAAGCCGTGACCAATTGCATGCCGATGCCAAAGCCTTAATGTCAACACGTCACAATAAATTGGCAGCCTTAAGTGATATTTTGAAAATATTTCAACTTACCAAGAATATTCTCAAGAAAGCCAAAAAAGAACATGCCGAGTTCCAAAAGTTATTTGCTTTAAGCAGCGGCATGGAAGAGTTGACACGTACAAAAACACAACAGATTGTAAAGAAATTGGAATTTTATTTATCATATGTTAATCGGGATGCTGAAAGTGATTTGAAATAATAACTGTAGATAATATTAAAGACTTGAATTTCTTTTAATCATTTTAATTGTTGGCCGTTAAAGGAAGCACAAATGTCAGGCGGGGTTGAATGCATGATACCGCATATCACTAGGCATATTGAGCAGATCTATCGGCAAAAAAATACGAATTACAGTTTGTCCTTGGGCCAATGAGCTGATCTACTCAAATATTTTATTCTTAAGACAAAATCTCAGTTTTATCGTGGATTTGTTGAGGAAAAAATTTAGTTAAAATAGCCTTATCAAATATTTGAGCTTATAATAATTTGTTTAAAGATATTCTAGATATAATGTCGGAGGTATTTGCCGATTTACAAAGGCTCTGTTCCAGTAAACCAGAATATACAATTTTTTTGGTGTGCGCTGTTCCAGAACTTCAAGAATGTAAGTATAAGGTCCCCATTCCAAGCCACCTGAACTATAACCCCAGTGAACTAAAAACCAGATTGTAAGTCAAATTGGTTTACACTCTGTTGGGTATTTGTTTATATTTTGTTCCGTGATTTCAATTACAATAAATCATTTTAATATTGACATTAGTCTATTGGCTTGGAAGGAGAATATTATAGTTGGTCCATGACTGCAAGAATGTAAAATCGTTTATTACGATAACCGAGTTTCCCTTGATAATATCGAAAAAATTGCAAAAATAGTAGATTCTTGCAGGTTCTGGAACAGAGAAAATATCAATAGTAAAATAAAAAGAAAACACCACAAAGGTATACTTTAATCATGGTAGAACTAAGAAGGTAAAGTCATGCAAACATATTTTAACAATTTTTTCCAAATGTATACATTTGACAAACATCTCATTGTCAAAATCTATATTCATAAATCCATTGTATACATACAAAATCAAAGATGGGAACTGTTGCATTGAAATTTGACAAGGTAAATTAGAGAAAATGCTGAGCTGGGAATTCTAATTCGAAATTAGGTTACCACCATTTCATTGTACCATAACTTTAATTATTTTTAGGAATTTTATCTTTTAAATAAATCAATCATGTATAGCACATGCGAGTTTGAAGAAATTGTAACCTCATTTGCCAATGTCCTTGAACTTGAAACCAAAACATTTTTTAATGTGTTTTTTTTTCTTTAAAAACTTTGAAAAAATGCTGTTTGTTATTTGTTCAACGAGCATTGAATTGTTCCTTAATTGTTTATTAATTTATAAATATTGTTTGTGAAAAGGCAAACGCAGCTAAACATACCATGACAACCTATTTATTAGGGTGTTATATAACTAACTTTCTTTTTCAGAAATAATCACTGATCATGACGAAATCGGTTGAACTTAAAAAAATTTGGGAAGTGCTCAATTCAGGATGGAAGCATTTTTAATTTTTAGCCTTATTTTTTATCACTTTCATTTGATAGTGAATTATAAGAAATAGAAATAAATATACTGTTGGTTTTAGATATTTTGAATAGCCTGCTCTTATTTTCCAGCCATAGACTTTTATTTGAGTGTTAAAACCCTATACGATATAGAACATATAATAGCCCCATGTAAAAACTCTGCTCAATTTTTGGTATTGTAAAGGGCATAGCAACATTTTGCATTCAAATGGGCTTTAATTTGGTATTTGTATTTCCAACGTTTAGAAAATCATGCTGCGTGGTATTTAGTTTTGCCCACATCATAATTGAGAGTAGAATGATTTCAGAATAGTCAAAGATAATTACTCATTTTACACCCATTACCATAAGATGGGAATTATTTTTTTGCCATTTAAATTGTGCGTTGGAGTCCCAAAGTCCATATTTTTGATATTAGGATAATTCAATGACGATTAAACAGGTGTTCGGTTCCGTGTTACTTTCTTCGTATTTTTTATGTTTTTGTCACAATTTCCGACTGAATGAGTCCCAGTATTACATTTAGGGTTTTTTTTCATATAGACGTATATCTACGTTCCCAACCAATATTATCTTGGGGGTTACAAATTCAAGCCACAAATACAAGCCATGGTAGGTCTGATCTAAGAATCGTGGTAGAGATACCGACTGCCGTACAGATATCTGACCTCAAGATGGGACAACAGTGTTCCTGACTACTGTTGTCTATGTGAAGACGAAGAAGAGGGAGGGAAGATCGAACATCTACTTTGTACATGTCCCATGCTCTCAAACAAGAGACATACGCTATTTGGGAGGTGGGCAATAGAAAATCTAACGTTCCCCTTCATATATCGTCAGTTTACTAAAACATTTCCTGCCTATTACTTCTGCTACGATATCTCTAATAAAGTGGTGGCGAATGTCGATGTATTTAGATCGAAATTGATCCACGTTAAACTTTTTCAGCATATCGTCTTACCATATCTTTCCATTTTCTCGATCCCTCGTAACTTTCATCCCCAATATGTAATGGAATGGGCCAATGTCCTTCATCTTGAAGCATCTTGAGATACTTTCCTTTATATGCAGTTTACTTATTTGGTTATTCGACAAAATCCAGATGTTGCGACATAAGTTTTCTCTCCATCTTGTGTCAAAAACAAATGTATGTCTCTGTTTCGGATTGTGTAAGACCAATTTTTTTACATTATTTTGATTCCAAACCCTACTACAATTTCGCAATGGTATCTTGGCTAAAAAAAATCGGTTGAAAATGTGTCAATGAAAATGTGAATAAAAAATCTGTTTCTGGGTAAAATTATTTCAATTTGACATGCTATTTTGAAGTGTAATATTTTATTGTTTTATTGCAATAAAATAGTAGAGCGAATTGGGCATTTAGTAAGAAAAGGATTTCTATCCTTCCTATATCTAAAATCGCTTTTTTATGTCATGATATGAGTCATAACCTCCCGATTTCAAGTATATTTCACATTTTAACCATATTTTTTCATATTCGTATATTTTTTCATATTCGTACTAATTTCGGAAAATGTTGGTAATTCAAGAAGAAACCTTCCTTGCAAAATCACGTTTTGCTACGAATAAAATTTTTAATTTTCGGAGTATGGCTCACCTTGGTCTTGACCACATTCATCAATTGATTTAGGTAAAAAATTGTATTTAAGCTACCCTGGGGTGGAAAACCATCTTACAGATAATTATCCAACAGGCATTTATGTAAGTATAGTCCCATATTCGTGTTCCACCAAATATTATTGTTCTCCCAAATCCACTTTCACAACCAATGTGTGCTCAGAAAAGAAAATTTTGTATTCTATTGAATTTGTAACCCCCAAGAATATAAGATAATATTGGTTGGGAACGTAGATTATGGATATACGTCTATATGAAAAAAAAAATCCTATATGTAATAGTGGGACTCAGATGTAGTGGCAGCTGGTCTGCATGCCCGTAAGACATCAAAAAACCATTTATATCTGAAAAAATCAAAAAGGCTTTCGGAAACAATAATATTAAGTGGAATCAAGCTCAATGGAAAAAACATTATTTCTGGGATGAGTCTACGTTTAATATTAAAGGCTCAGACGTGATAAATTTTACGGTGAGAAGACCAAAAAATTAAGGACTCAAGCCGCAGTGTTGCAAAGGTACAGTGAAGCATGAGGGAGGGTCAAAAATGACGTGGCGCTGTTTTTCTTTCTATGGACTTGGGGCTATCCATAAAATAAAGGAAGTTGTGGATCGGTTTGTTTATAATGATGTGTTCGACATCACGTTGTTCCCTTACGCTGAGTAAAATATTCGGCTGATTTGTTGCGGGAGTCAAAAATTGATGTTTTGTTATGGCCGGCACAATCACCTGACCTAAACTCAATAGGAAACCTTTGGAGTATCGTAGATAAGAAGTCAAGCGATATTCGGAAATAAATAAGCACAACATTTTCTAAAGAATTCGGGGTGCCTGGGAAAGCACACCCAAGGATCAAATTGAGAGTGTTATAGATTCAATGCCTTGTAGGTGTGCAGCTGCTATCAAAAATAATGGTTATGCTATCGACTACTAGCCAAAATTTAATTATTTTAAAATAAAAAATCAAAAGTTGCTTTAGTTTTGACCAAGCAAAAAATTGGGTCATTTTAGTTTTCCACATATTATTTTTCGTTCAAAATTATTTTTGTATTTTTATTTTTAGTTTCTTAAAAGTGAATTAAACCCCTCATTTTAAACTGGAAAAATAATTACGATTTGTTTATTTTTGTAAAAGTTACAGGACATTTATCGTCTTAGCGATTTTAGTTGCTTTAGTTTTGGTCACCAGTGTATATATATATATATTTTTTTTTAAATTAAGAAAATGAGAAAGTTTTTCTTGTTTTAAATTAGGCATTTTACACACTTTTTTAAAACTTAAAACAAAAACCCAAAATTGATTTTTATATAAAAAATAATGTATGGTAAATTCAATTAACCCGATTTTGGCTTGGACAAAACAAAAGCAACTCTGTTGTACATTCACATGATCGCTGCAGTTTCAGTTGTTTTTACAGTTATATTTTTCGCTTTTTGCTTCCTTCAACAATTTCGATTGCCATAAATCATTTTTGAGAAGTTTTTTTTACAACAACTCGTGTTTGTTTTCGTTTTTTAAGTACTGCCCAAAAAAGTTTAAAAATGGTTAGAGGAAAATACAGTACATGAATAAAACAGCAAATTATCAGTGACTATGAACACAAGCTATCCCAGAAAATGATTTTCGAGAAATATTTCTTAAGTTTTTCTGTGATTTCTCATATACTAAGTCGGTTTTATGAACCTGGATCAGTAGTAACAGTCTATAAAGGATGAAGGCCGTGAAAAACTTCAGCCCGTACTGATCAACAAATTGTGAGAGAAACAAAAATAAAACCTTTGAAGAGTTCAACTGAATTGGTGAAAGAGCTATCATTGGATATAAGATCGAGATCAGTGCGTAGACTAGTAGTGGCAGCTGGTTTGCATGCCCGTAAGTCATCAAAAAAGGCATTTATATCTGAAAAAAACGGAAAGCCAGGATGGCTTTTGAAACGATAATATTAATTGGAATCCAACACAATGAAAAGACATTTTATCCTGGGATGAGTCATCGTT